TATATATATATATATATATATCCTACAGTCCTATTGTAATCATGTCAATACAAAATTTTCTTTTTCTTTCCTTCCAACGCTTATACTATAATCCAAACACTAAATCAAGTAACAACATTGAAAGAATTAACCAAGGTTTAGGGTCTGTTTGGGGCAACTTATTTGGTGCGGTGACGTTTTGAAAACACACCTGACCTGTTTGGGTAAACTGCGTTTTGGCAGCTTATGCATTTTCAAAACGTTGAAAACAATATTTTCACACCGCACCTATCTAAGTTCAGTGACAACTTTTTAGCTGCGGTCTGACTTTTCCAAAAAAAAATAAATTTTGTAATAATCACCGCACCTAGTTTATCAGCTAATTATTTTTAATCGGCTTATCAGCAGATTATTCAATAAGTTGCAACTGCCCCAAACAAACCCTTAGACAAATTTACAAATGGCATGCCAAACAAACACCCTAAAGGGTTGCTTGATAGCATATTTATAATAGGATTTAACCATGGATTTAACTTAAATCCAGCCAAACATAAAAAAAAATAAAAAAAAATCCAACGCTTTGTTAAATCGAATTTCATCACCACTTTTTTCTAGCATTCCGTCACATTTTTGTCACCTGTTCCGCATCAATTCGATCGTGAAATGGATTTATTCCATCGTCACGCGAATCTTTTGATTAATTCAGATTTATTGGATTACATAAATCCTATTTAACGTAAATCGGAACTGCATTCAAACACCGCCTAAGGATTTACAAAGTTCAATAGTTCATGATTTACTAAATCCTACTTCACTTAAATCATTCTTGCTCTCACACAAGAGAACATTACGTTCTGGACGATGACTTGGATTGCACCATGCAGTCATCCCGACATAATATTTTTTCCACTCATACAGATGCCCCTACAAACATCAGAACATCAGCTAACAGATGCAACTAAGCAAAACAGCCCCTAAAGATTCGTTCCCCTTCATAAAACGACAAGCTTAAAAAGTTTAAAAAAAGGGAAAAACACAAAACAAATCAAACACATACTCACCGTGTGCGATTCAGGGTCCACCGCCGCGCATCGCGCGAGAAAAAAATACGATCCGGGGGCACGGGATATTGCAGGCTGGATCCGACCAATGGGCTCCGCAACGGATCGAAACTCTAGGGTTCCGACGCAGGTAGACGCAAGCAGCGGGGTGAATACCATGTGATTCCTCGGTGATACACAGACGACATCATAAATATTCGTGTCAATACTCTTCATCAAACGACATCCCGCCCACCCAGATCCCAGCACCACCACTCGCGGCTTCTCCTTCCCCGGAATCGTCGGGCCCAGGCCGGCAAATTCTCCGGTGACAACCGAAGATGGCGGAGCCGCGGCGGCGGCGGCGGAGGTGGAGAAGAAGACTGGCGGGTGGTAGAATGGCAATTTGTTTGAGGGCCGAGAAAAGCGACCTAGGGCTCGGAGCCAAGCCATAAAGACAGACTTCTCTCTCTCTCTCTCTCTCTCTATTGATTTCTCCTTGATTTCTCTATCTTTAGCTCTGAGGTGAGTTTTGGACGCTCAGTGCGGCGGAGACAACTGGAAGACAGAAAGAAAAAAATCCATTAAATTCCTTTCCCAGCATTCATTTAAGATTAATGAATGATGATACGAACCTCTAGAACGAATCGTTCGAATTCTTCTGTAGATTCCAGAAAGTCGGAACGGCGTGGCATTTCCGTTATCCTATGCGATGGTGCAGGATGAATACGAGTATAACGAGTGGATTGTAGGTAATCGTAAAGCAAATCTGATGGTTATAAAAACACAATACTAGATTCAGTCGAGTAAGTGCAGGTTAGGGTTTTTATAAAAGGTGTCCAAATGGTGTGCCAGTATGAACACTCCCATTATTTGGGAGTAGGTAGGAAAGTGACAAAAGTTTCTTCGCCATTTCCGTTTCTGCTTAAAAAGTCGTTTTTTTAGTATAAAATATGGAAGGTTAGGCTTCAAAGATTAATTAGTCATGGCTGGCATGTTTCTTTTTTTTTTCATTATTATTATTATTATTATTATTTATTGTGTGATAAAAATATAATGTGCTCCAAATTTAATAGTTTCGGACAAAGAAAATGATCTCGCCTGAAAATAGGCGGCAACTTATACGTCGCGAACAAAATTTCATCATCTGAAGTGTATGCATGACACAAATTTTGAGGCGATTTTTTTAGTAATAAACATTAAAGCTTTAATTAAGAGTAAATCAGAGCTCTGATTTCAGTAAACTTACAATCAAACTGACTGGTTCGACGAGATGGACCTAATGATATCAAAATTGGTCAAATCCAAGTCGAATCAAACTCAGATCAAGCCATTAAACTATAAATAGAAGTTTATGGATACATTTGAAAGGTCAAATGAATGTTGAATCTAACGAGTTCATAATCGAATCAAGCATCTCAGTGAGACGAATCTAACGAGTGCAAGATCGTTGAATTTTGATATTGTTAAGGCACTCAAATGTTCATCAAACACAGTCTGATTGAGGGAAGCTATTTGAGTCATCTGATTAAAATGCTTCATATTATTGCATTAATTGCGCCTGAAAGTTTATAAGTAGAGTTATATCCCCTCTCATGGAGTGGGGAACATGAGGCTTGAGAAAGAGCTTAAAGCTTTGAGAATGAGTTGTAGTCCAGCACCACTCTTCCCGTCATAGACCGCCGCCAACCGCCTTTGACGCAAACGACCACTGTCGAGCACCACTGACCGCTGACCACTATATACCATCGCTGATTATTGGTTGTCGTCGTCGTCAAGCACCACTGATCGTCTCCTACCGCCGTCAATGACAAATGACCACCACTGACAACCACTTGTCAGTCATCGTTTATCGCTATCGGTTATCGTTCGTTCCTTGCAACAAGTTCATGTGCACATCAGAGTTGTAAATTGGGAAACCTTATAACTTTTTCTTGCCTTTGGGACAAATTGTTGCATCACTAATCACCAAATTCATAGTGCATTTTCGTAATTGAGTCGGGCCCTGTGGTTTTTCTCTTTATGGGTTTTCCACGTAAAAATTTCTAGTGTCACTACTAGTTGTTTTCTCTTTTCTGTGTTGAATTCTCGTGTAATACTAGTACAATAATGTACTACTCTATTGTCACGAATTTTTTAACATGCATCAATTTTACGATGCTAAATCTAAGAACATGAAAACCATCCAAATTTAACATTGTTTAGTGATGACATATGACAGAGTTTATCATCTTAACTCTAAATACAAATTTGATGCAAAAAAAAATTAAATTATGGCTGTAAAAGAGACTTAAATAAATAAAGGGGAAAAATAAGCAGCATAGCCTAGTTAAATATTTATTTATATATATAAGATATATGTTATTTTCGTTCATTAATTAGAAAGTATGGGGTTAAATTGTATAGAACACAAGCTTAACCTCCCTTTGCTGCAAACAAAAATAAATGATGAAAATCATGGAAGACGAATATGATAGTCATGAATCTAACAATATTTGGTGGATATCAACGTAATTAATACATAGTAATAGTGAGATGTAATTATCAAGTAATGATTATCATAAAATGATGGTCGAACAAAAGTAACCAAGAAATAACAATAAGGCGAATACATTCAAAATATAATAGCTAATGGCAACAGATGTGTGACATTATTTCTGTGAATACGATCATTTATAGTGATCATTGACATTAAGGATTTGGCTGAGCTCTAAACTTTGTAAGAGTTTCAAAACATTTGTAATTTTAACTGAAATTTTATAATTATTTTATGATAACACTTTAGGGATCCTGACAGTGCCTTCAACTTCTTGGGAGCGCTCACGAATGACCACAAATTGATACCCTCATTGCCTCGACATCAACTGACCAAGAATCTCACCTTCTTGTCCTTATTTTTTTCTCAAATCCCACAACCTGGAACTTGGAACCTACTGAGAACACTACGCAACCATCCCAACTAACCTTGAAATTGAACAAGTAAGCAAAGAAGTTGGTCCACCACGAGACAGCCAACCACTGGAGGAAGACGACAAATGTTTTCATTATAACAAAGATGGAATTTGACATCGCCTGCTTGGGGATGACACTGTAGCAACTGAGAATCACCTTTAGTTCTCAACAAGTAGGCAATATTAGCCCATACTTAAACTGGTCCCAGTAAGAGACCAGGTTATTGCTATAGACATCGGTAGCTTGGTCACTATTCCTAACCACCCACAAGAATATTGAATAGCCATATACACATGACTTTTGGAGATACTCCACTTGGTCTGCCGACAGGGTCGACACTTCTTTAGCCAGAGTGATGTTGAATAGTTCTTGGGAATATTTGGGTGCCATGGAAATCGAGAAAGAAAGAAGCACTCAAAAGAAAGAACCAACAAAGATAACTAAATAAAACAGAACAATCGTGCAAGGGTTTTCTACGCCATCAACCCATTTATAGAGAACAGAAGGAAGTCAAACCATCACAAGGGTAGTGACATCATCTTTTACAAGGGTGACGACATCATTTTCCACACAAAACTGTGGAAAGGGAGTCAATTAAACTCATAAATCAAGACAAAAAAATTTTTAATTTGTATTTCATAATAATAAAATTTACATCAGCTGCTCAACAACTACAAAAAAAAAATACATTACAAAAATATCGACAATTGTTTCAGTGGAAACAAACCTCAATGAAACAACCGCTTCTTCAAAATTTTGCCTCATAATTGAAACTTATATACTCTATCTATTTTAGCTTGTGCGCGGGCTATCAAAAAATCCTCATGGACGACCAGAAACTCTGCTTTAAGAGCTGCAACTTCTTCGTAGACAACAATTTTTTGAGCATAGAGGACAACTACATCTTTCTCCAGCTTTTCCAACTTATTTCTTGGTTCAATTAGCAGGTGCTTCTTCAGGGTTTGAGGAAATCTGGCCACCCAAATGAATAAATCTTCTATTTCATGTATCCCGTTTTCTCTCGAGCCAGGAGATTATGTTATTCCAGCCAACGCCCTTTGTGCTTCCTCTAGGGACCCAGACAAACACTCTCAGCCTCAGCTTAGCACAAAACACCTTTAACGAACCCTCAATTCAACAAAACCTTGGAGACTAGATAAGCACCCACCTCCGTCAAAGGAGTCGACGGTCACCACCGAATGACCAGGTTGTTTGGATAGAAAAATAATATGAAGCATGATTAAGAGAAGAAGAAAATTCACATAGAAAACACAGTTCATATCCGTGATTTTGTCTCAATTTGAAGTTGTAAAAGAGAACATTTCCTCAACAATCCTCTGTCCCTCAGTTGACAAAGAGAGGTTGAGGCACCGTGCATGTTGACGACACCGAGGAATCAACAAATTCTCACACTATTCCGTCAACAACACCATGTGGTGCCTCGTGCGAGTCCAAAGCACCAACAATTTCTTGCTTTGCTCTCCCAGCTAGTATCACTGGGGTCTGGGTAGGAGATGACTAACCAGCTAACCGTTCTTTCAGGTGACCACCTTCCTCCACCCGGGACACTTCTCCGAAGCGATCTTTCTTCTAGTTGTCTCTCTCTCTCTCTCCCTCTCTATCTCTCTCTCTCTCTCTCTCTCTCTCTCTCTCTCTCTCTCTCTCGTGGCTTTCCTTCGCATACTCCTCACCCAGGAGATCAAGGAGCGAGTCTAACAATCCCACATGATCCTCTAGATCCGGTCTCTTTCTTTTTTTCACCAACATCTTCTGCTCCCGATCACCATTCGGGTAGGGTTCTAGTCTCCCGCCTTATATTCTCAAAAGCTCTTCGGTAGGCAGCTTTGTTGTCTTGTCGGGTTTAGAAGATGGCTCATTCACCATGTTGGTGATCATAATGTAGTAAATCAAGTGAGGAAAAATAGAAGAAAAATATGAAAAGCGCCCCCCCCCCCCCCCCACCCACCCACAATATGTTTTTATAGGAATCGTGCGTACGAAATTCAAGGGGAGTTCAATTATTATATTATTAAGTGATCATAAATACCGTTCATTTTCTTAAATTAAATTTTCTTGTTCTTATCACAATATAACTTTCAAAAAATGAGATAATCAAGGAACTAAACACAAAAATGTGTCAGCATTAATCATTAGGCAATCCAACAACATATGAAAAAATGACATGAGAAAGCTGGACCCACTAGAAAGTAACCCAACAACCAAGAAAAACTGATCGTAGGATGCTTTGCCCAATGAGTTTAGTTTACTCAGCCAATAAGTATTCTTTGAACGAGAGTTGAGGATTGATGACCGGTCTGACGCATCCAACCGACTAATATCAACCGAACAGATCAGTCTATCTGATAGTTCTCAGAAATGCAGCCGATTTCCCTTACTTGAAGGGTTAATCGACCGACAACCCCCATTCAATAAGTTAATCAGTGACACTAATAATTTCACCTCTTTGGCTCCAATCAATCGAGCGAAAGAATAACAAGGTTTTGTGCTCACATGGTTATAATTCCTAGAATGACATTTACAACCATCATTAAATCAAGGTTAGAGATGTATTTTTTCTTCATTGTATTCCCTCTCCTATAAATAGAGAAGTATTTTCATGTAATAGTGCTTTTGGCTCTTCCCCCTCTCGATGTGCCAAAAATATTTAATTATATAAAAATTGTCATAAGAGACCAAGAATATCTCAGTTTCATCCCAAAGGGTAAGTCGTTGTGCACTTCTCTCCCCTCTCTCTCCCTCTCTCTCTTTCTCTCATCTTCTCTTGGTTCAAACACTCTAATCCTTTCGGTGTGTCTCATGAACAAATTAAGATTCAACAATATATGAATCCAACTAAATATTTATTCAAATTAAGTTTATATATAGATTTATCTTTTATTGATAAAATAGTTTAAAAAAAAAAAATTAAAATAACTCTATATTGTTTGCTCATAATTCTTTTGGATACATACACACCATATAATTCTTTGTTATTTATCTATTTAACGTCTATATTTTTATGTTTGCAAGTGTAACATTTAAATTCTAGAAAATATCATTATTATTTAATTTTAAAAAGTAAAATGCACATTGTCATACATAATTTAACCATACCAAAACATTTAAAATGTATATATGAAATTTTATTTAGTACAGACATAAATATGTACAAATTGTGTGATATGTATGTAATTTTTTCAGAATATTCTTTGTAAGAAATTCTTACAAAAAAATTAGTGGTGAATTTCGATCCTCAAGCTGTGCATCAAACTGGAACGCACGATCGTAGAGACGCGTGGATGGTTCCGATTCCATCCATTTCATGCTTCACGATATCCACCTGTGCTCCACGCGCCATCTTCCTCTTCCTTTCTCTTCCTTTCTCTCTGCTCTCTCACCCTCGCTCCGGGCGTTGCTCCCTCATGGCTTCCTCCGCCCCCTTTCTCCCAGGCCAACCCCTTCTCAACCGATCCCACTCTAATTCCCCGTTAGTTTTAGGGTTAGGGTTCCCCAACCGAACCATGGGCCTTTCATCCTATCGCCGCCCTTCACAATCCCTTCTTCGCCTTCGAGCCGAAGCTTCCCCTGGTGCTGGCACCATGGAGACATCGCAGGATTCCTCAACTGATCCCGTCCAGCGATTTCTCAAGCGAGATTACAAGTGGGGCTTCGTCTCGGACTTTGAGTCCACGTCAATCCCTAAAGGCCTCTCCGAAGCCACCGTCCGCGCCATCTCCGCCCGCAAAGGCGAACCCGCTTGGATGCTGCAATTCCGCTTAGATGCCCTCCGGAGATTTCTCTCGATGGTCGAACCTCGTTGGTCTGAAAACGTTTACCCCCCAATTGACTTTCAGTCCATCTGCTATTTCTCAGAGCCGAAGCTTAAGCCCAAACTTAATAGCCTTGATGAGGTCGATCCTAAACTCCTCGAAACTTTTGAGCGCCTCGGAGTCCCACTTAACGAGCAGAAACGCCTCGCAAATGTCGCGGTTGATGCCGTCATCGACTCCACTTCAATTGCAACTACACATAGAGAAACCCTAGCTAAGGCCGGGGTTATCTTCTGCTCCATCTCTGACGCAATCAAGGAGTACCCGGATCTTGTACGGCGATATCTCGGGAAGGTCGTGCCGATGGGCGATAACTATTATGCCGCCCTCAATTGTGCTGTTTTCAGTGATGGGTCCTTCTGTTATATACCAAAAGATACTGTTTCTCCTATGGAGATCTCGACGTACTTCCGGATTAATGATAGGGATACAGGTCAGTTTGAGCGGACTCTGATAATAGCCGATGAGAGGAGCTACGTGAGCTATCTTGAAGGCTGCACTGCTCCCTCCTATGATAAGAACCAGCTTCATGCTGCGGTGGTGGAGCTCTACTGTGCTGAAGGTGCTGAGATTAAGTATTCGACAGTGCAGAATTGGTATGCTGGAGATGAAGAGGGGAAAGGAGGGATTTACAATTTTGTGACAAAGAGGGGAATTTGTGCTGGTAATAAGTCGAAAATATCTTGGACACAGGTGGAGACAGGTTCGGCAATCACGTGGAAGTATCCAAGCGTGGTTCTGAAGGGGAATGACACTGTGGGGGAATTCTATTCAGTTGCACTAACAAAAGATTATCAGCAGGCTGACACTGGGACAAAGATGATCCATATTGGGAAAAATTCAAAAAGTAGGATTGTTTCAAAGGGAATATCAGCAGGAAAAGTCGAGGAATTGCTACAGGGGACTTGTGCAAGTTGGGCCAGGCGCTGAGAATTCTCGAAATTTTTCTCAGTGTGATTCTATGCTGATTGGTGACACTGCAGCTGCCATTACATATCCGTACATACAGGTAGTTTTCTAAAAGGCTTCATGATTGTTTTTTTTTTATTTTTTTACTTTTTGGCAAATAGGAAGATGACCAGTCAAGATCAGAATTGTCAGTTGTAGGGTGAAATTAAGAGTTAAAATTGATTAAGGTTCGGCTCAATCAAGGAAACTTGTGGCTTTTTTGTTCCCTGAAAATTTTCGTAGGTAAAATTGATGCCAAGTACTTTTTTTTGTGCTTCTCTACCATAAAAATTACATGGAAAATAAGAATATTGTTTTTCATAAAAAAATGAACAAATGCAGTTGTACCTAGACTTAAGATTGGTAGAAGTTATGATACATTTTACAAATAAAGTGGTCCTTTTATGCAACTGACTTATGATAAGGTCACTTGGTCTTTTAGCATCAAAGCTATGAATTTCAAAGTTTTGGTATTGGAAAATAAAAACATGTATTACAAAACTGTGCATCATTGTTCTGCATTCCTGAAGAGTCTTGTTGTATGTTATTTTTGTCAGTTTTTGTTTTTTGGGTGGTTGTGTAGAAGATCATTACTTATAGGTGCACTTAACAACTAAGTATTTTTGTTTTGAAATGCATGCTCTAGGAAATAAGAAGTTAATTGATGTGATAGAAAATGATTTAGGAATAACGGTTTAATTAGGAACCAGGCAGTAAAGAGTTGATTTTCTTATAAATATGCTAGTAACAATTATTTGACCACGCAAAATGTCATAATGACATCTTTCATAGTTTATTATTGGGATCTTTAAAGAAAACTATGCAAACAATTGATTGCTCTAACTTTTATAATAACATTCAATGATAAGAGTGACAAGAAGTCTATGCCAGGGGTTCTAAAAAAAGAAGATTTGCTTGCATTTTACACAATTCCTATTTATTTGCATATCTAACACCTAAACTTGATATTTACATTTATACTACTTTGCTTATGCATGAAAATCTATATTTCACTTTTTATTAGTTCATGATAGTGGCATTTTTTATGTGATATAAAAGAGCTGTGTTATAAATATAAAAATAAAAGTTTGTGTATTAGATATGTAAATTCATAAGAATTGTGTGGTATATATGTGATTGCCCCAAAAAAATTATGCTTTATAAAGTTTAAACTTTTGATTTATCTATTTTGGTTTAGAAAACTCATTGATATTATAGCCATAAATATCAAATTAAATGTTGTGGTGTAATCACTTGTTTAGATGAACTAGTTTATCGCTGTATACTTTGTGCTAATAGGGTGGCTCAAAATGGTTGAGGTTTACAATTTTCTGTCGGCTTTTGAAATCTTTGAGCCTATGGTTTAGCATTAAGATACATAAACTTCTTTTTTATATGTAGTATTTGATGAGCATGTGGAGTTTGCCATTTTCTATTCAAGTTCTCTTCTTAAAACTTCAATTTTAGCAATCACGAGAAGAACTTGAGTTCTAATATTAATATCATAATAAGAATATGGGTATGTGAGGATTTCTTCCAATGATTTAATTAAAATTACGAGTTCATGGAAATTTTATATGGAGAAAAGTTTGTCTAGGCTAGAGAAATCATATAAGACCAACCCCATTTTTATTTGTAGAAGATTAGATATGACATGAATTGGGAGGAATTGGTTGTGTATTTCATCCCAATATTGATTTAGTATTTATACAATAATAGGAGAGCTTCTAATCATAAACATATAAAATTATGGAATAATAATTGTAAAGAAACTATAATAGTCCACTGTCTATGAGTAGACAGAACAATAACTTCAATAATTCATTGATTGATTAGAAGCGGAAGGAATTTCATGAATCATTGAGGTGGCAGCTAAGGAGGAAAGCAAGGCACTGGAAGTCTTTGTGAGAGAGGGTCGTAGCTTGCATAAATCATGCAAATGTTTTACACTCCCCTTCAAATAAATGAAAGGATGTTATCAATTTCAAGTTTCTCTGATACTTCTTACATTCTTTTGTTGAGAATATTAGTAAATTGTTCACTCGATGTAGGTGTTTTTTAGGTGCTTATACTTAGTGGGAGTGATCCAATTTTGCTTCTTTCTTTTAAGAATTTATGAATCAAACACAGTCAGATTAGCTAATTATTTCCATCTTACTATTATGTTAAATAGATTTTTTGCTACTCTCATGTTGGATTTAGATTGCATCTCACAATTCTAAAAGAATCCAAGACCTACGGTATATTGGTACTGTTATTGTTGTTCATCGAGATGAAAATCATGCTTCCGTTCATAGGAAAAAACAAAAAATGAAAGAAATGTGGCAATGTGGACCAATTTGCAATGATCTAGCAATGAAGGATGTAACAATGGAAAATGTTTGCAGCAATGAAGGCTGTAGCCTTACAAAATAATGAAGGCTGCAATTATAGAAAATTAGGGGAAAGGAGAAGCTTGATAATAAAGGCTGTAGCATTACAAAATGCAGTGATGAAGAATGTTGTAATCAAAATACAAGAGAAAGAGACTAGGGTACTCTGATGTCTTGTCAAGAATTTTTAGAAAATTGGCTTATTTTTTCATTCTAACTCTAATTTTTATAAAATCTTAGAAGTGCTTCTAATAGAAAATAATATCAGTGAATAATAAATACAAAATGATAAAACTAATTTGTTCGATCAGTAGATAAAACAATAGTTATAATAGTCCATGAATTGATGAGTAGATGGTCAAGATCTAATGGATCAATGAGGTGGTAGCGGAAGTAGAAGGAAAGAAGGTGGAAGACAGTGAGTGTGGGTACTGATTGTGAAAATTATGCAGACATTTCATAATATCTGTACTTTTGTTTCATAAAGTTGACGTTGCAGTATATATATATATATATATATATAGAAAATTTGAGATCTAATTTACGCAATCCCGCTTCCTAGCTTTTGCAGATTCAAGTAATGTATTTTGCGTGTGTCAGATGAAGGCGGAATAATAGAAGGCACACTTTTATTACCTTGCTGCATCATGGCGTGGGGTACTGTTGACATTGTGTCATTTGTGTGTTCATTCTCATATGAAGCATACACATGCAATTAGTAGATGCAATTTGTCTTTAGTAAATGCAGAACAATATTTGGCAACAATTTCTTATTTTATTAGTTAAACTGGGCTTAAAGCCAGCACAGATGGTCATGACGGCGTAGATGATATTTTGCATGATTTTAGGACTTTATTAAGTAAATTAAAAATAAATTACTTAAACATGGTATAATAATACAAATGCTCTTTTGCATTAAATTTCAATAGTTGACAAATAATGTCAGAGTTGGCAGTTTAATGTCATGATAACCTCTCTCCTTCTCTTCATACATGTATTTAAGCAAAATCATAGAACCAATATTTTTCATCTTAAATGATACATCGGAAGTTGAACTATAAGGCTAACGAATAGTGATTTGATCAAATCCATAAGCCTTATATCAATAAATGTCTCTGTTTAAAGGCAGTCTGAAACTTGAGATTTTTCATACAATTTATATGGTCGGTCTAGATGGCTAGAATCAAGCATTATATGATACAATAAATTTTCTTCACTAACTTTTGCCAGTCAAGTTTGAAATGTTATTTAAATGTTGGGCCTATTACATACATACCACCCAATTCTTATGCATTTACATATCTAACACCTAAACTTGGATTTTTTTACTTCTAAAACCTAAATCTTTCGTATCACATCTGAAGAATCATTATTTAAACTTTTAAAAAGTGAGATAAACCTTTTCATGTATAGGTAAGGCAGCACATACGTAAAAATTAAAGTTTAGGTGTTAGATATGTAAATACATAAGAATTTAGTGGCATGCATGTAAATCTTCGTTTAATGTTTTATCGGAAGGCAATATTGTTGCTTTATATGGCTATTATGGAAAAACATTCAAGTACATCATTGTTGCTACTCTGAAGTTCTGTCTCAAAACAGGTGAAGAATCCATCCGCGCGAATTGAGCATGAAGCAAGCACTTCCAAGATTGGTGAGGATCAGCTATTTTATTTTCAGCAGAGGGGAATCGACCACGAGAAGGCTGTTGCAGCCATGATTGGCGGTTTCTGCAGAGATGTTTTTGATAAGCTCCCATTAGAGTTTGCGTCGGAGGTAAATGCTCTTATGAACCTTAAGTTAGAAGGATCTGTTGGCTGAACCGAACTCGCTTTGAATCTCCCACCCGCGTTAACATAAAAGTCGTGCACTTTGCAATAGGCCCGCTATGTAAATTAACTCCTTTTATTGTAAAATGGTGGAATTATAGCAATATCCAATAGAGAGAGTTTTATTTTAAGAAAGTTGAAACTATACTTTGGTTCATTTTGAAGCCAGCCGCGAAGATTTAAGCATAGTAATGCAGTTGTTTGAATAAGTTGTCCAACATTAACTGCGAATCTTGTAAATTATATGAATGGAAGTGTGCTTGCATTCTTTTGTAATTAATCCTTGGCTGTAGTGAGGGATTCCGTTAGGAGTGGAGATTTTCATTCTTTTCAAGCAGGATCTTGCAGTATAATTTGTGAAGAAGTAGAACTTAGGAGTTCCTAGCGTTTATGTAATAACCTGTTGTTTCTTTCATTTAGATTTGTAGAAGTTACTGGAAGATTCTTATTGTATTACTCATGGTTTTGTTACTGGAGCCTCAGCTTTCTAAAATTCTTTAGATGCATTAAGTATATTCATAAATTTCTAAAAAGAAATGGTCGTCTTAACTGTCAAGTTTCATGACCAATATCTCCAGCTGACACAGTCACATTGGTTGGGCTTAAGTTTATCTACACCTAGTATATGTAGATAAACTAGGTGTGGTGAAGACTATGCATATGGATAATTTTTACATGCTAGTGAAAGCAGATAAAAGTGAACTATACATTGAAATCTTAAACATTGAAACAAACTACACATAAAAATCCTACATATATATATATATATATATATATATAAACTACACATGGTAAATTACAGATGATGATTTCATGTGCAAGTAAGCTATATTTGGAGAAGTGTACACATGAACATTACACATGTAAATAACTTATTTGGGATATGATTTGACAATGGGCATAAAGAGAAAGGAGGTGTGAGTGTGTGTTTTCGGCATAGAGAAGAGGAGGGGAAGGAGGGGGGACATGGATGGGTTTCTACAAAGAGGAGTGGAAACTGGAGAAGCGAGTTGGGATTTGAGTTTTAGGTAATTGGATGGGGGAGAAGGTGGTGTGATTAGGCTAAGGGAAGAGAGAATGAGACCACGATTTTGGCCATGGAGTGGGGGTTGGGATGAGAGGGTGAGGTTAGGGTTTGGCCATGGAGTGGAGGTAGGGAATAGAGGGTTGTAAGCATGCTGAAGACTTGCATATGAAAAGATCGACACATGAAAACCCACATGACAAAAAAAAAAACTACAGGTGGAGATTACATTTTAATGTTACACATGAAACTATGGTCTTCTACTACGATGAAAAAACGAAAGATATGCATATGGAGCCAACGAGATAACTCGTGACTTCAGAAAGGCCACAACATTATCAATCGATGACCATCAATGAGTACCGACTCTATATCAAGAACAACGTTACGAGGGAAAAGTCTCAGGTTGAGTTGCAGCAAGTGATATAATATTTATTTCTTGATCTAATTAATTAGCTAATTATCTAGCCGTTTTATCTAAAGAGAGAGTAATTAATTATTTATTCTAGTGCAAACTCATAATTATTTTATTAATAGAAATGATGATTACAAAAGTAGGCCAAAAGACCAATCAAAAGGGAGAAGAGGGAGGTGTATCTGGTCAAAATCATTTTCCTATTTTTGAAAATTTCATTAGTTAAAGATGCTGAATTAATGCATTAATTATCAAGCAATTTGATTCAGTCCAATGTTAACTGCTTTATTTGCGTGATAAGTCTGAGATTTAGCAAATAATTAATTAAATCTACACAATAAAAATAATTCATATGGAACAAATTAAATCAGCTCTAAGCATTTAGTACTGTCATACACTTGTATGATAGTCAGTACTTTATGCGTTAACGCGGACGGCTAGTGAACAACTATTAACAAGGAAGATTGTTTAAGAAAAATGCGGGCAAATCAATTCTGTCGATAAGGAGTAGACAGAAAACTCTCTTGAACGGAGAAAAAATAATGCGTCCAAAGTCCGGATGTAAAGTTATGCCCAAATAACGAATATGATATAACGGGAAGGAGCGGAGCTCGAACCTCTGCTGTATCACGTCTGTCGTTTGGATGCAAGCTTAGTACAAACTCCGAACGTAATATTTTCTCCTTAAACGATGAAGAGGGGGTGAATCCTGCAGCTCAAAATGCAGTCAACAATCAAGAGGTTGTGGAACATGCCGGTCTGATTGATAACTGATGATGGGTGTGGTCCTGCAACTCCGCTTCGATTGATAGCTAATGAAGGAATTCTCTACTCAGCGTGTCGAGCAAACTACAACGAAAAGAAGCACCTAGTGCTAAACAAGTAAATGATCAATCACTACATGACCATGGATGGTGATGTTGAAAATGGACGTAGAGACTAGAGTGACACACTACTTTAACCCAATAGTTGAAAGAAGAAAGATTCCGATGCGACATCGGCTTGATGATGCTGTAGATCTTGGCCGAGCTACTGGAGATGGCCAATTAACACAATGAATAAAGCAGTTAACAAGAAAGAGAAATAGAGAGACAACACAAATGAATAATAAGAACATGCTAAATTTATAAATAACAGGGAGTATAATTGTGAGATTACATTTTCAATTAGAATAATGAGGGCTATTTCAGTATTTTTAATATATGAGACTCGTAATTTTGGGATTCCTATCTACGGGCCATTCCGAGTTGGAGGAGTCTACTGATCAGATTAAACAAAAGAGAAAATGATAGCACTATTTTTTGTGGTATAAAAATTTGAATGATATATATGTAAATTATTAGAAATATTGTTATTTACAAATCAATCAAATATAAAAATTATTGAAAAAATCTCAACCCTTTTTTTATTTTTAAAATTTTTATTGAATTCTGAATGATTCGTCATGAATATTTGGAGTGGTCCGTGCGTAATTATCCTAAATATGAATGTTTAAGAAGTGTGTGGTACGTGTGCAAATGTCCCCAAATACTTAAGCGGAGAAGGGGATGGATGGCGAACAGACCTGCGGCGTCGGAGTCGGAGGCCTTCTCCTTCACGCTGCTGACAAGCATTCGAATCTCTCCTTGCCACTTAAGCTCGGAAGTGCGATTCTTCAGCAACTTCCATGGCGCGAAAAACTCTCTGTTCGCCTTTATCAGAAGAGCGAGGGATCCTATTACCGACTTTAATGAAAGAGCAGGTGAGAGGAGAAAGAGATTCTAATTGCAGAGAAAAACAGAGCAAAGATCGATTCATATCAACATTGGAGGTTCGAATTCGAGTGTTCATCTTGCCCTAGAAGGAAAACAGCACCGCGAGATTTGTTCATCAGAGCAGACATTTGATTTTTTCTGTGAATTTTATCCTCCTAAATCTGAAATGGGCCACGATAACGATCCGTATGTGCTGCATTTGATTCCTAGGGCTTCAAAACCTTTCTCCCAGCAATTTCCAGCAAAATGTTTGTATATTTTTTGATTTTTTTTTAGCATTTCTATACGCCAGGAACATAGATGAAGGCGGAGAGGCGCTCATGGATTCATATGGCGTTCATTCGGATAGGCAGCCCTCCCATTACACCGGAAATCAATTTGACATTGAAAGCGGCCACGAATGGCGTATTGAACCGTCGCCCACACCGGCGCCTGTTGAGAACAAGCTCGGAAAGCAGAGGAAGAGGTTGGTCAAGAAGAGCGCTGCAGAGAGCTTATCCGAGCGTAGCGGGAACCCAGCCGGACAGGCGTTTGGTGGTGATGAATTGAACGATTGGAATGAGGAGGAACCGGTGAATAAAAGAAGGTCGTCTTCAGGAGAGAAAGGGAAGGAGTTGTGCGTAAAGATGAAGAGCAAAGTGTTATCGAAGGAAAGCCAAGTTGGTGCAAAAGCATCCTCTTCCAGATCAAAGGGTTATGGAGTTGGTTCAGCTGATCATGAAATCGATCCTGAGCTGCACGAATTATGGAACAATGTCGCCGGTCATGATTTAGAGGTCTGAGTATTTTTATTTGCTGAAGTGAAAATTTAATGCTAGCTAACTGATTCATCTTTTCTTTTTTGTTTGGGTAATAGTTTGAGTTTGAAAAGAAGATTAGTTTGATTTTATGCAGTTGTCATTGTCCAATTATGACTTTTGGAATTTCATCTTCTGCTCAATGTATTATTAAACTTTTGATTTGGAGTACCTAAAATAGTTATTACTGACCATTTAGATTTTGTTTATAAATATTGCAGAATAGATCAATATTCAACAAGCGCACTAGAAATGAAGACCTGCGGAGTTATGAGGATGAGAGAATTTCTTATAGGTACTAATGCCCTCCTTTTTTTTTGAGTGGCATTGACATACATACCACTCAATTCCTATATATTTATATATCTAACACCTATATTTCACATTTTACATTTATATCACCCAAATCTTTCATATCATATAAAAAATATCATTATTGTAACTCTTAAAAAGTGAAACAAATATTTTCATGCATGGATAAGGCGTCATATATGTATATGTAAAACTTGAAGTTTAGATGTATGTAAATACATAAGAATTGAGGGGTGTGTATGCAAATGTTCCTTCTTTTGTTATAAAGTTAATATACATTTTAGTGATTTATGTATTGATATCATACTTAATTTTTGTGGCTCCATTAATGTTTTATTTAGAAGAACTGCGAACAAATCTCCGAAAAGGATTCATTAGACAATGATATTGATGAATTTTCTCAGTAAATTCCTTTGGATGTTCTCAGTAAGTTCCTTTGGATGCTGCATATGCTTTCATAATATTTTGGTTTATTTTTTCATGTCACCTAATTTTTCGTTGGGTTTAGGAGGAAAAAGTTACATCAGGCTTCTCTTAGAGAATGTGCTTCTCTGCCAGAAACATTACCATTGGATTTTGTTGTGCATCCGCCATCAAAAGTAAATTGGGAAGAAGTACGTGCACGAACTATTAGAGCAGCTATGAAAGCTAAGAAAGATAAGATGCGTCGAAAGGTTCATTTCTTTGCTTCTAACATACATTCTAGAATCTCAATTTTTTGACTGAATTATTTTACTCTTTAAAGTTACAAAATGCTTATTTTTGTTAGAAAAGATACGTGTTAGATTATTAAAATGAATTAATTGATTGAATTAAGTTATTATAATTTTGAAATCTTAATAATCATATCATTCTTTATTGCCTTACTTTTATGAAGCTTTATGATTAAACATGCCTTCTTTTTCAATTATTATAATTAGATGTTCTGAAGATTTTCTAATATTCTTGTTCTATCGGATAATAATTCATTTACATGCTGGTTCATCTTTGACCTTTTTTTTTTTTAATTTTTAGGGCATTTACATAGATACCACTGAATTCCTATTTATTTACGTATCTAACCCCTAAATCTCTTATATCACAGTAAAGATACTACTTTTTAAACTTTTAAAAAATGGAATACATATTTTCATGCACAATTAAGGTGATGTATATGTAGAAATTGAAGTTTAGGTGACATGTAAGAACATAAGAATTGAATCTTCTCCTTTTTTACATTGACAATATTTATCATTTATGTTAATACCTACTCATTTATTTAATTTATTATGTCGATATACTTAAGTTTCCTTGCTTGTTTCACTCTCTTTTTACAGCGTCGACGACCATTTGATCCACTAATTGCTCAAAGGAGGCGTCCTTTGTTTAAAGTGCAATCTTCAGCGTACTAAAGAACCAAGTTTAAAAATGAGCTTTTATATTTGAAGATTTACACTTGATTGTTATACACACACACAAATGTTGACTTAGGATCATCTCTGAGGATTTTTTGGAGATCAATCTTTTTTTCCAAAATAATTTTTATATGTTTTTTTTCTCTAAAAATAATTAAGACTTTTTTAAAAACATTCAAAATATTTTTTAAATGCTTCAAGTTTTTTCAATAAAAATTTTATTTTATTTTATCAAATATATTTAATTTTAAATTAAAATATAAACATAATAAAATAGAAAAAAATAAAATAAAAATGATCCCAAATAATCTTTTAATAATTAAGAAGTATTCCTCCTACAAAAAAAGTTAAAATCTGGATCCATGAGAGCCAGTTTTTTCATGGTTTCTTAGTTTTTCTATTTGTATCCTATAAGTTTTTTTTCAACTTTTTTAAGGCTTTATTGTAGCATAAATTCACAAATTTTTATTAATTTTTTAATATCTTTTTTGAGATCCTGGATG